TTTTACTTTTTCTTTAAAATAATTACAGAATTTGAGAACAGTGTACACACATTTATTTTATAGATGTATTCCAAAACTAAGATATATAGTATAGAATACCTCTTCTTTTTTTTGGTACATGATTTCTCTAATTTCCCCACATGCAAATTGATAAGGACGTTGGCAGCATCTACACTGAATTTTGATCTTGCAGAAAATTTATTTCTAAGTCAGTAAACCATAAAGCCAGGACAAAGCATTATTTATGATTCATGAAAGCAGTTGTGTTCCTGAGGCACAAATCATAGAACTATTGAAATTACCAGCTGGACAAAACTGAATATAAACCAATCAATTGATAAGTGATGTCTTGTACTTGTATTGTTGGATTTTTGCTTCCTAATCCATTCTGCCACTCTATTTCTTTTAATTGGTGATTGGCGGCACTGGGGATTGAACTCAGGACATTGTACTTGGTAGGCAAGCACTTATTCTACTGAGCTATCTCCCCAACCCTGTTTTCCCTATTTGGTGGGTTCTTTCTTTTCTCCTTCATGGAGTTATAGTCATTTTGAGCCCTCTCTACAATATCTTTTAGTAGTCTGTGTTGGGTTGGCTTTATCCTCATGAATTTCTTTAGTTCTTTGTCATGGAAGTATTTCATTTCTCCATTAAGCTTGAAAGAGAGTTTTTCAGGGTATATCAGTCTGAGTTGGAATTGGTTTTCTTGCAAGACTTGTAGTACTTTGCTCCATGCTCTTCTTTACTATTCTTTTTTTTTTTTTTTTTGGCGGAACCGGGGATTGAACTCAGGCCTTTGTGCTTGCCAGGGAAGTGCTTATTCCACTGAGCCATCTCCCTGGCCCCTCCATGCTCTTCTTGACTTGATGATTTGTGAAGAGAAATCTGCCATTATTCCAATGGATTTCCCTTTAAATGTGATCTGTTTCTTTTCTCTAGCTTTTAGTATACTGTTCCTGTGCTGAATTTCTGGGATCTTGATTATTATATGTCTGAGTGTGTTTTTAATTGGGTTGACGTCATTTGGAGTTGTATATGCTTTGGCTACCTGATTGTCAGATTGTTTCCCCATATTTGGGAAGTTTTCTGCTGTTACTTCTGCCCATATTCGTTTTATATCATTTGTATTGACTCCTTTCTCATTGATGCCTGTTAGTCTTTTGTTGTTCATCTTTGCATCATCTTGCAGATGTTGAATTATTTTTTTTTTCCTGCCTCCTAGTTGTTTTTAAGAGATCTTTTTATTTTTTTAGGGGAGGTTTATATTTTGTTTTTGGTGCCAAAGACCAAACTCAGGACTTCCAGATTACTAGGCAAGCATTCTACTGCTGAGCCAAATCCCCAGCCCCAAAAGGTTTTTCTTATCTTTTCACTAGCTGCAATGGTGTCTTCAAGGTCTGAAAGTCTATTTTCACTTTCATTCAAATGGTTTTGCCAGCTTGTGATTGAGGTTTTAATTTCTTGTATATTTCTTTGAATCTGCTTCATGCATTCTATTTCTTTCTTATATTGCTCATTCAAGGATTCCATCATTTTTCTATTCTCTATTTTTTATTATGTCTTCTTTAGAAGCACTTAATAATTCCTTCATTATATTTATAATTTCTTTTATTGCTTCAGAAATTATTTGGGAGGGAACCTGGGAGATAGCTCAGTAGAATAAGTGCTTGCCTGGCAAGTGCAAGGGCCTGAGTTCAATCCCCAGTTATGCCAAAAAAAAAAAAAAAAAAAAGAAATTATTTCTGATCTGATTTCCTCTATGCCTTTTTGCAGTTGTTTTGTTACTTCAGACGCTATTATTTCAGGTGTGTGCTTTCCAATTTCTTGGTTTTTTTGGGGGGGAAGGGTTTACTGGGTGTTCAGGGTCTCTCTACTAGAGTGGACTCATAGTGATCTGCCTATTTACAGCCTCCCAAGAGCTGGGATTACAGGCGTGCGCTGCCACACCCAGTCTCAATTGCCCTCACCGGGGGCACAACAGGCCTGTAGATCAAGACACACCCTCCCGCCAGCCCCGGCCCCTGTGCCTGCTTGCGGGCTCTTTAATCTGCTGAGCTATTTGGCCCACTGTCTAATTTCTTGTATGCTATATTCTCCTGCATTTGTTCTGGGTAGGCGCAGGGCCTGAGAATGCATTTTGCTCCTTCTTTTTGTCATTTTTGTATAGCACTGTCTTCTGACCTTTGGTGTAGAGCTCTGGTGCAGTTATTACCTTAGCACCAGGTCCAGATCTACCAAGTTCAAACTCATCCAGGTGGACATGGCTTGGGTCTGGCTGCTGTGCTCTACTTTTTCCTGCTGCAGCCCTTGGAAGTGAACCTACTGTGCCACTTTGGCAAGATGTTCTACTCCTGGATTAGCTGGGTGGGTCTTGCCTCTAGCCTCTCTGCAGGGAGTTCTGCTGAAGGGTTCCATACTAGATCTGTCTGATGGAGGAAGTTCCACACACGCGTCAGGCCTAGGTGCTGGCTGGAATGAGGATCCGAACAGCCCTGGGCAGGTGGTCCCACACACACGCTGGACCTGGGTCCTGGCTGGAATCCTCATTTTTTCTTAACTCAGCTAACTAAACAAGCTGTTTCAATGAGTGATCTTGTTTATATCACTCTGAAATGTGTTGAATTAATCTAATAGCAAGAGCTAATGGACCTAGTAAGTGCTTATTAACTTAGTAGTATTGTGCTTTGTTAACTTTAAAGCTAACACGAAGTGAAGATCTTCGAATAATGCCTGCATTTTCCGATTCCAAGTCCTAGGGACTTTTATGATTCCATGATCCCATTTTGCAAAGTATTGTGCTGTTGAACAAAAAATTGGGCTTGCCTTATTTCCTCTTTCTTTTGGCAAAGGGATAATTTGAATTTTGAATATAGATTTTTTTTCTTTATCACTTTAGTAGTTGGGTTCTAGAAAAGTGGGAAGCCAGTATTGAAGAGCCCCTATGTGCCTGAATCTTATTAAGTTCTTCCATTTGATTTAATCCTTATGATGTTATGAGGTAGACTTCATTATCTCTATTGGAGAGTGTACCTGAAGCACCTTTCTATATGCCAAATTAAATCCTCAGATCAAATCTCTCAGGCTATGAGTTTAGAATTTTAAGTGTCAGGCATATGCTAGATTTCTCCTATCTTATTTGAGTTTAAAAATGAAATTTGAAAAACAAATAACCTTAAGTTTTCTCCTTTTCCGGATGGGCAGCAATGGTGACCTGGACCCCTGGTCTGGAGGTGGAGTGACCAAGGACATCTCAGCCACGCTGGTGGCCATCACCATCGCGGAGGGGGCCCATCATTTGGATCTTCGGGCCAACAGTGCCTACGACCCTGCATCCGTGCTGCGAGCCCGCTCCTTGGAAGTCCAACACATGAAACAGTGGATCCGAGACTTCCATTCCCACGCCAGAAGGCAGCGCTGAACAGCCTGGACCATTTTCAGTTTCTTTCCTATTCCTTCTATTCCCTTTCTCATTCACTTGGATTTTCTACATGTAATTACTTTTGCTTGCTTGTTATTAGATTTGGGGGAGCCGAGGTTGGGGTGGAAGGGGAGGGTTAGAATTGCGAACAGCCTCGCACCACTGTGAATGCCCGGGCCCGGCTCCTTTGTGCTTCCTCCAGGACAAAAGCGGTCATGGCACTGCCAGCACCACCAGTGGCCCTCACGCTGAGCTCCTGACATGGAGCTCCCGATGCCTTTCACCCAGACTCGCTTCCTTTGCTTCTCTACACGAAGGGACTTCTCCGTGTTGAGGCTGAAATCGCTTTGGCCCGTTTATAGAACCCCCCTCTCCAAAGGAAAAACAGAAGACAGATGAGAAATGATGTAATTGCAGCTGGTAGGAAGGATGTCTGGTGCCAGTCCAGGAACTGGGGCCCATTTCTTTTATACTTGATTTAATGACTTTGAACTGTGCTGTAAATAAAGATTAAGGCTGGATCGTGTACCTGCGTGTCGCCTCTGAGGCTCACTCCAGCTGTGGGGGTGCAGGGTGCTGCAGGCTTGGCTGCTTTTGGCAAGACCTTTCATTTTCTCTTTGTCATCTGGCAACTTTCCTTAGTCCTGGGATATCTGCCACTGTGGTGCAGCCAGTAAGAAAGCCAGCCTTTTCCTGCTCCGTTTGTCTTTGTTTTGAAGGTCAGTCTTGTGGTAATTTGGTTAAATTCTTGCCAGTTTAGGAAAATGACTCTGTTTTGCCTTTCACTTGAAATCAGAACAAGTTCTGTGCTGTGGTCACTGATGGTGCTTCCAGAAAAAGCTTTCCAAGCTTGTGAATGAGTACAAGCTCCTTAGTACTCCTTAAGGAGAAAGTAGTTGAGGGTAGCTTTTTTTTTTTTTTTAATTTCTCTTTCTGGTGGTTGTTCCTGCTGTCAGGATGCTGAGAAGCAGGTGCAAGGGGCCTCTCTGTCCAGCTTCCAAAAGACAAGCTGACTAATTCATGCAGGCAGCATATTTGACATTAATAAATGGCTGAGCCGTCCCTATTTCCAAGGGGGTGGCTTCTTTCGAGCAGCGCTTACACTGAGACCTTTCTTCAGAAGAGCTTTTCTAGGATAACAAATAGGATTCGATCAAAACCTTTCAGGGACACGAAGAGAGACTTAACAGTCCCCACTTTGTTGAAAGATTTCTTCTTTCCTGTTTTCTTTCATTTTCTTTACTCTGCCTTGGGAACATTTTGTGCTTTTAAAAACTACACCTTGAGCTGGATCATTTCAAGGCAGCTATTTTATTTTAAAGTACAGATGTGGTTGGAGGCTGAAGCCTTTCCTTCCCTCTCCCTGGCATCTGGGAACACAGGAACGTTTTTGTCTTGTTTTGGAAGTTTTCATTCTCACTGTAGGAGTTGTCCTCTGACACCCTGGGTCCCAGTTTTTTTTTTATTTCAGTATCAGAGAATGGTCTGTTGGGGTGTGAATATAAAGGTTAAAACAATACTCATTTTTCTTCTGTGTCAACTGAGAATATGTAAGCAAAGTATTAGACTTAACAGTAGATATTCTTACTTCAGATTTTAGGATTTTAGGCTCTTTCCCCTCAAACCTTTTTACTTGATCTGAATCTTTAAAATACATTGTCGTCTTATTTAATGTTGATTTGTTGGATATTTTTTAAAAAATGTATTTGGTACAGGGTCTACTATGCAGCTTAGACTCGTGGTGATTCTCCTGTTTTCAGCCTCCCCAGCACTGAGATTACAGGTGCGCACCACCATACCCCGTCTCGGTGGCTGGCAAGGCACGTGGTGCTGGGAATTGAACCCCAGTCCCTGCGCTTGGCTAAGCTGGCTCTTAGTCCACTGAGCTATCTTGCTGGCAAGAGGTTTTTTTTTTTTTTTGTTTTTGTCCTGCAAATATAATTTGGTCCTACCACTCTAGCCATATTGCACATATGGACAGCAGCTGAACTGAAGGTAGCTTAAATATAAAGTGGTAATACTTAATTTTAAATTGAAAAAAATTACTGAAACATTAAATAAGCCTTATTGAAAGTTTATTGCTGGGTATGGTGGTGGGCATCTGTAGTCCAAGCTATACAGGAGGCTGATGCAGGAGGATCCCTTACTGGTAGGAGTTTAAGGGCAGCCTGGGGGTGGGAGGTGTTTATTTTTCTAATTACTAGGATATATTTTCACTCACTCACACACACACAGAGGATTGTAGTGTTCATTGTTTTCTGCTTCTGTTAATCTGCATTCCTTGAGGGTCTACAGACAGAGCTTTACCCAGAGGCACTAGCGTGCAGGCAGCGCATGAAGGTGGACGCACCCCAGATGTCCCGCCCCAGCCCACCATTGACAGTGAGGTTGTAGGCCAGAGAAAGAGCTCGCCCCAGCCCTGCCGGCTCACTGTTCATCAGCGTACACTTGTGATCTGTAACGCTCACCGGGGGCGGTTGGCACATGCGCACACTGTGTCGTCGTCAGCTTTATTCTCCCCCTTTGCTGCCCTCTGTCTCCTCCCAGCCATTTCCACACCGCCTACCTCCCGGTTCCCTGTCATTTCTTATTTTGTTCTTTAAATTGTTTATATTTTGAGCTTCTCATCTAGGAACCACGCGACCTTTAATCTTTGTGTTTGGTTTATTTCATTTGGCGTTAGGAACTCAAGATCCACCCACTTCCCTACAAGTAACAGAAATTTACCCTTTTTTATGTGTTTAGGGCAGGGTCTACAGGGTTGACAGGGTCTCACTGTGTAGCTCGGACTCATAGCGATTCTCCTCTTTTCAGCCTCCCCAGCGCTGGGATTACAGGCATGCGCCACCACGCCCAATCTCAGTCGCCATCTCAGCACACCTCAGGGTCAGGGTCAGCATGGCACACTGGGGATCAAATTTACCCTTTCTGAGGGCTGAGTAGTACTCCAGGGTGTATGTATGCCACCTTTTCTTTATTCATCTGGTGACTGGCGTGTAGCCTGCTTCCATGACTCAGTTATTGTGACTTGTGCTGATGTAAACATTGACGTATGTATCACTCTAATGTGACGTAGCTGTAGCTAGAGCCAGCAGAAATTCCACCGTGTGTTCTATAGTGGCAGCGCTAATTTCCATTCCTGACGGTTACTTTATCTCTCTGGCCTCTCCAGCATTTGTTGTTGAGTTCTAGACGGTACCGTTCTTACTAGAATAAAATGGAATCTCATTCTTGTGACTTGCATTTTTCTAAGGGCAAAAGGTGCTGAAAAGTTTTCATTGGAAACTTCTGCCTTTTCAAAAATGTGTATTCATTTCAATTGCCCATTTTTTGTTTGGGGCTTTCAGTTGGGGGATCTCATTTTTTCAAGGCCTTTATTCCAGTTATCAGTCTAGATAATAGCTGAGAATATTTTCCCCAATGTAGGTTGTCTCTTTTGTTCTGTTGCCTCCTTTGCTATGCAGAAACTTTTTAATTTGGCACATTCCCATTTGTTAACTCTTGATATTATTTCTTGTGCAGTTGAGTTCTGTTTGGAAAATTCTTACTTATGCCTGTGTCTTCAAGAATTTTACTTATTTTATCTTCTAGTAGTTCGTTTTAATATCTAAGCCTTTGATCTGTTTTGATTTGATTTTAATACAGGGTGAAAGATATGGGTCTAAATTCATTCTTCTGAGTGTGGATGACTGGTTTTCTCAGCACCATTTGTTGAAGAGACTGTGTCTTAGTCACTGCTCTTGTTGCTGAGACAAAATCCAACATTCACATGAAAGGAAGGAAGGTTTAGTTGGGCTCACAGATTGTAGTGGGTTCATGATCACCTGGCTTCAAGGCAGGGTGCAAAGACAGGGGCATGGCTGAGGAGAAGCAGTCCACAGCAGGGTAGGCAGGAAGCAGCGCAGCTCCAGCAGCAGCTGAAGTAGCTGCAAGCCTCCCACTGTATTCCCTGAAGGCCACAGGCCTGTTGGTTGGTGCCACCCACAACAGGCAGGCCTTCCACACCCAGAGCTGTGCTGCGCAGTCAGGGGCCTAATTTAGTTGTCACCTACACTTCGTGCCATACCGCAGATTCTCTATCCAGCCACCTTCGAGAGCATCCCACTTGTGAGCTTGTGAAGTGTTAGGGGTACATCTAGATACAAGCTATAGCGGGCTGCTTGTTTCTCCACATATATTTTTGGCCCTATTGTCAAAGATAGGATGGCCCAGTGTTGTCAAATGTAAGATGGTTGTTTTGGCATCCATCAGTTCTGCCCCATGGATCCACAGGTCTGTTTTTATGCCAGCTGTTTTCATCCTTTATAACTTGAAATCCAGGTTGGGATGCCTCTTGCTTTCCTTTCTCCTCTCAGGATTGCTATAGCTATTCTTAATCCCCTCTGGTTCTATATGAATTGTAGGATTGTTTTTCTATTTTATCCTAGTTCATTTTTTTGGCAGAATCAGACTTGTCTCCATATTTGATTTCATTTTACTTGTGCAGTTTAATCTTTGGATTCAAACATAATCTGACCAAACCACCAGAAGAGAGGGATCATGGAAGTCACGTAAGAATTTCTCCAGGATTTGGTCCAGTAGGCATCCTAATCAGGGAATGGAACCAGGGATTGGAAAGTCAGTAAGTCAAGACTGAAATCTTCAGTTTCTCTGGTCTTCAGCAGAGGCTGCCATAATTGACTTAATAGGTTAAATTTGTATCTCAGATGTTGGTAGTTCAGCCAGGTATCTAAAGTGTATGTCAGAGTTACACAGAGGGTTTACAGAAATGCTACTTGGTGAGCCCTGCTCCTGAGTTTCTAATATATTTTGGGGTAGGTCTTGGGAAATGGCTCCCAAGTGATGCCAGGCATCACACTTTGCAAGCCAGTAGTTAAAAGAATTCTGAATTTGAATTTCTTCCGACAGGACGTCCTCCTTCAGTTTGCCTTACTCCTGTTTTCCTACCTGACCTGTCCACGTACAGGTGCCCCCTACAGCTTTGCTCCTGTGTCTGCTTCACCCTCCCTGCAAATCAGCTTCCTCTTCTGTTTGTGCAAAGCCCTTGGTGACCTCACTGACTGGTGTCCTCACTGTCCTTATTGCCTGTAGAGCCCCAGCTGTCAGGGGCTCAGGGCAGGGCAGGGGCATGGAAACAAGGTCCCAGACATAAGCTTCTTAGGATGGACAGGGACTCATTAAGATAGCTCATCCACAAAGCGTCTGTCATTCATAGCATTCCTTGGAGCACAGGTGTCCAATAAAATGCCAGTAATTTCTATGGCAGAAAAAGCCATAGTTGAACACAATTTGGAAAATGATGGGATTAATGAAGTTAAACAGTTGCTTTGTTCTCTGCCTATAAATACTCATTTTTTAAAAATATGTATTTAGGACAGGGGCTATAGGGTCTACAGGGTCTCACCATGTAGATTGGACTCAAGCGATCCTCCTGTTTTCAGTCTCCCAAGGTCTGTGACTACAGGCGCACTCTACCACACCCGGTCTCAATTGCCATCTCAGTGCGCTCCTGCGGTGGAGCCAGCACTGGGGATCAAAGCCCAGCCACTGCGCTCTATAAATACTCATTGTGACTATAAAATAATAATAGGAAAGAAACTGTACCTACTCTTATTTGATAGGTCATCTCCTAAGCATAAAGCATTGTTACAAAACCTGGAAAATATGGTGTTGACAAAGCCAGCACAATGCTTGATCTAATTTTATGTTTTAGTGGAAGAAAGGCTTAAAGTGTCAAGCACCACAGTGTGTCAGTACAGTCAGAAGTGCTGAAGAGTAGGTGCTGGTGGGCGGTAAGCGAAGAACGGTGCTCTTTGTGAGATGCAGTATTGTAGCTGTGACCCAAAGGCCGCATTGCTGGAAACCAAATCCGGAAACTGGCCCGTGCGAAAGCTCTGAGTGTGGTGTGCATGAGGAGCTG